GAGTGGGGTTCCCTTACCCATTCCATTGAGTGATGAGGGTTGTAATGGGGAGGGTTGTCAGAGGTGTCAGGAGTTGAAAGTCTATCGCAGGCGGTGGAGGCAGGTTGATTTCGGTCATCAGCAGTCCAGGCCAACCCCAGTTCCTTCTGCGGATCCAGATCCAAGTACTACAGTCCCCTTATCAGATCCAGGCGATGGAGGCGGGTTGATTTCGGTCATCAGCAGCCCAGGCCAGCCCCAGTTCCTTCTGCGGATCCAGATCCAAGTACTACAGTCCCCTTATCAGATCCAGGTCTCACTGAGATACCTTCCACTGTTGCTACTTCCATTCCTTCGGATGACCTTGACCTCCCCATTGCAGTCCGTAAAGGGAAACGACGTTGCACCACATCCACAGCTCACTACATTTCCCAGTTTCTGTCCTATGATCACATGTCTCCCTCTTACAGGTCCTTTCTCACTTCCATTGCTGATACTCCTATCTCCAGAATAGTGCAAGAAGCCTTGTCAGTTCTTGAGTGGAAGGATGCAATGAAGGTTGAAATGGATGCCCTTTTGAGAAATAATACTTGGGAGCTAGTTGACCAACCCAAAGGAAAGAAACTGGTTGGATGTAGATGGGTGTTTACTGTGAAACATAATGCTGATGGTTCCATTGAAAGGTATAAAGCCCGGTTGGTTGCAAAAGGATTTACTTAGACTTATGGTATAGACTACTTTGAGACTTTTGCCCCACTAACAAAAATGACCACTATTCGAGTTTTGTTAGCCCTTGTAGCGAGTTATTCTTGGCCTTTGTTCCAGATGGATGTTAAAAATGTCTTTCTGAATGGAGAGTTACAGAAAGAAGTCTACATGCAAATTACCCCCTGGATTTTATGATGCAGAGACAGGTAAGAAGGTTTGCCGACTGAATAAAGCATTGTATGGACTAAAACAGTCCCCCAGAGCTTGGAATGATAGATTCATACTAGCCCTTGGAAAATTCGGCTATGTACAGGCCCAGTTAGACCATACATTGTTCGTTAAAAGAGTGAACTCTTCTTTAACCTTGCTTGTTGTATATGTGGATGATATTGTAGTGACAGGGAATGATAATAGTGAGATTGAGTCCCTCAAACGACTCCTTCACCAAGAGTTTGAGGTGAAAGATCTTGGTGCACTACGATACTTTTTGGGTATTGAGGTTGCTAGATCTAAACATGGGATCTTTATTTTTCAAAGGAAGTATGTTCTAGATCTGTTAGCAGAAACTAGAAAGTTAGGTGTCAAGCCTGCAGATACACCCATTGAACAGAATCACAAGATCAGTGCAGAGGGTGGAGAGCCTCTTGAAGACAAAGCTATGTTCCAACGGTTGGTTGGAAAACTCCTATATCTTTGTCTCACACGACCAGACATCAGTTAT